GACCGGCCGCTTAGGACATAGTCATGTGATCCATCATGAGAAACAACACTCACAAGTGAAGTCCAGCCAAGTTGACAGATCTTCAACTATCACACCTAATGACTTTGAAAAAAAATTTTTATTGTGATTTGGGTGAAGGTTTACAGAGCAAATTCACTTGCCATACAGCAATTCATACACATTTTGTCCCATGACATTGACTGCAATTCTTCACCATGTAACATCTCTCTTTCCACTTCCTCTCTGTAGTTACCTCTTCCCTGTGTCCTTCCCTTTCATGTACTCCCCCCCCACACACATCAGCTGTCTCGGAGTGCATACACTGCCCGTCTGTTCTACCATGATTGATTGCTCCAAGTAGTGTGTCCACCTAATGTAAATGTTCACCCCATATGCTTGTCTGTTATTTGGCTGGAAGCCACAAGAGTGAGTTCAGTTCCAGACCTGAAGGGTAGCTAGGGGCCATTGTCTCTTGGGTCTCACCAGGCTCTAACAGACCAGCAAACCTGGTCTTTTTTTATGATTTTGAGTTTTGTTCCACATCGTTCTCCCACTCTATCTATGATCTCCTACACTGACCCCCCTCCAAATGGTTGACAGTGGTAGCGAAGCACCATCTAGTTCTTCTGGTCTCATGGTCATTTAGGCTGAGGACCACATGGTCTACCTGTCCCTTGAACTAATTGTTTCCTTGCGTCTTTGGTTTTCTTCATTCTTCTTTGATCTAGATGAGGATAAACCTAATGACTTTTGAGACAGAAAAAGAGCACAATGACACAGAGAGAAACAAGCACAGATTAGGGAAAGATATATGCTTTGTGGAGATTACCAAGGTACTGAGGAGTGCAGGGGTTATGGAAGATGAGACAGATTTCTTCCCCAGAGTGAACAGAGAGAGAGCCTTCTAGAGTCAGTGCCCTGGATTGGACTTCTAGCCTCCTAAACTGTGAGAAAATAAATTTCTATTCTTTAAAGCCACCTACATGTGGTATTTCTGTTGCAGCAGCCCTAGAAAACTAAGACAAACTGAACACTTGTCTTACAATTACACACATTCAGAATACACGTAAGGATTTTAATCAGTTTCCCTCTTTGCACACCTCCCAAGAAGGTGTAGATTCCCAGCAGGGAGGAAACTGCACTGTAAGTTATACCAAATAAGGACGTTTTATTAGTTATTCTTCAAATAAAGTTACTCACTTTCCCCAGTGGTAGGGGTTGGTAATGGTGGAGGGAGGAAGGAAATAGGAACGTACAGTCTCCAGTTGGAACCCATAATCAACAGCCTGGCATCCAATGTTAATTGTGCACATGATTGGCATCCCAAAGCCTAATTTGTGTTTATCACCAAGATTTCAACACTTCCAGGTTTCCAGTCACACCAGATGTCTAGTGAATAAGTAAATTAACATAAAGGATGGGATCCTCAGTGCAGATGAAAGTCGAGCATGCCAGGGACTGCACCAGAGGTGTATAAAGGAAGGAGCTACAATCAGAAGCTGATGAGTTACCGACTGAGGCCTCTCAGGTAGAGAAATAATTACTACTACCTGGAACCCAGAGAGCAAAGTGAAATACAAAATAGGGATGAGGGACACTCTGCTCACTCCTGCATTGGTGTTAGCACATTTGAGAGCATCGTTGGCAGGGTATTAGTACTCTCAAGGTGGCGATCAAACTTGGAGAATAGCAGTAGTTTTATGGGCAGTGGACACTAATGGGGGTGGGTGCTAGGGCAGGACAAATCACAGGGGGGAAAAATCCCACAAAACTAAACCTGTTGTAGAGTTGATTCCAACTCATGGTGACCCCATGTGTGCAGATTAGAACTGCTCTATAGAGTTTTCTTGGGAGCTCTGGTGGTGTAGTGCCTAAGGCATTTGACTGCTAACCAGAAGGTCAGTGGTTCAAACCCACCAGCCACTTTGTGGAAGGAAGATGGGGTATTCTACTTCTATAAAGATTGACTGCCTCAGAAACCCAATGGAGGTCACTATGAGTAGAATTGACTTGATAACATGGGTTTGGTTTTTATAGGGTCTTATTGGCTGTAATGTTTACAGAAGCAGATCACCAGGCCTTTCTTTCCTGGTGCCATTGGATGGGTTTGAACTGCCAACCTTTTGGTTAGTAGTTGAGCACAAACTGTTGTGCCAACCAGGGACCCCAAATAGCAGATACAATCAGATCATTCTAATGGACAGACTTGTTATCAGCACCCATGAGATACTTATGAGAACTTGCTGTTTACCTGAGTAAGTGGATGAAGGCAATCAAATGACCTGCACTGGAGGATGTGGTTAAGAGTCAGGGAAATACAGGTCATCACAGTTAAGGTGACTCTATTTGTTCTACCAGTTTGATGAGATTTCAAGAAACATGAGCTATATACATAATTTTGTTATTTTCCAATCATATTTGTTAGGCTGAAGTCCTTAAATAAATATTCAGGGTACTATGTTATACATCTCCTCTTCACTCTTTTGACCTTTTCCTGTTTTAGGGTCCTATTTCAGCTAGGGTTTAAGCGGCATGACATGCAATGGCAAGATAATATATCTGGTATATCTTCTTCAGCACAGCACAGGTGTCAGTGGGCCTCTCTTGTACCTGCCTATCTTGATTTCTACACAGAACATTCCTGGACTTCCTCCCCAAGCACCAGATCCAATAATGTTACCCAGGCAAAGTGAGGTCAACCTTCTCCTGAAACATATATTTGTCCAATTCAGTCTGATAGAATGAATTTATCATTGTAGCCAGTGCAAACTGTATTTTTCTTCAGAGTCTCCTTGTTGCTTTCTGTTCTTTACTTAATAATTACTTTTGGGATGGGGCAGAAAATAAAATCAGGGACACTGCCTCATTTCTCATACTGGAGGTCAGAAGAGGGGATGAAATGTATAAGCACAAGATTTAGCAGAGAAAAGGACTGTCAGTGTTGGGGCAATGTGTTTGTGTGATGGGGTGCATGATGGTGAGAGTGCAGGGCATGAGTGGAACCCTAGACACTTATGATTGTGGGCATTTTTGTTGTTGTTGTTCTATATAGTGATTTTGATGTCTGACCACTCTGGACAATTCAGAGCCAATTCATACCCAGTGTAACATTACATTTATCAGGAGCTGAGTCTGAAAGATTTAAGGTACAACAAAATTCCAGATAAACCAGAACACCCCTTCATGCTTCATCACATTTATTTTGTGACTTTCTTCAAGATTCCACACTGTGCACACTGATGATCTCAAGTATATATAACAATATGTTTAATACAAAAAGTAACATAAAAGCAATTGTGATAGAAGTTGAGATTATTGATTAATGAAAAATCTTGAATTTTATATATTTTTAGTTGTTTAATAAGAAAAAAAATTTAATATACTCTTAAATTTAAACAAATTCCAACAGGCAAACATTCTGTAACTGAGAGGGTGGCTGATGGTGTCATGCTGGGTCAGCTACCTCTCTTTTGGTTCAGGCCAAACCTGATGTGAATCTAGGCCCATTTAGTGGCTACCTAGAAAACCTCAATCATAGCACACATAACATGAATTTTGTGAAGATTTTGAAAGTTACAAGAAGTGTCTAAACTATTCACTACATAGCATTTCTAATGAGGGGAAAAAAACCACCCTCCATTATCAATATCATTTTCTAAGTTCCTTTACTCTTCTTGTTATGTGCCATGGAGTCGGATCTGACTCATAGTGACCCCTCCTTGGATTTCTGAGGTGGTATCACTACAGAAGTAGATTGCCCAGTCTTCCTTCCAAGGAATGGCTGGTGGGTTTGAACCATCAGCCTTCTGGTTAGCTGTCAAGTGCCTTAGGACCATGCCTTTACTAGTCCCTTAAATACCAAATTATTCCCTATTCTGATGCTTCGTCTATCATCTCAGACCTGGGATCATCAAAGCAATCCTCACCCTACAATTAGATTTTCCTAATAACGGCTGAGAAAATAAAAATCTCTTTATATAATTATGATCTACAATGACAAAACAGCATCCCTCTCTTTTTCTTTCTTTTGCTAACTCTCTTCCCCTACTATTTCCACGAGGAGCTCTGGTGGTGCAGTGTTTCTACACAAGTTTTTAAGAAATGTATTATTTTGATTTCTAGAATATTGTGCAGAATCCCCTTTAATTCTGCACATGCTGAATTACAATTACAGGTGGGGCAGAATGAAGTGAAAACTCCCCATAGGCCGCCTGAAGGACTTGTACTGTGATTGCTTGACTCCATTATTTCTCCCTGGAGATGTCCTTTCTAGATTTGACCTGCTCTCTGCTGTCTTTTTCTCAAGTATGTTGCCACCTCAACTGATGAGACAATTGCCCTCATGTTGAGACTTTATACTGAGGATTGGCTGGGGAGGAAGGGAAAGGAGACAGATATTCCACTCTTTCCAGGCTTTGGTCCTTTTGATGGACACAGCAGCACATCCAGCCCACTTGCCCAAGATCTAAAATGACTCCAATGATAGAAAAGTATTTAAAAGATGAACCACAGAATTACAGATTTGAGGGACCTGCTATTTTGTATAAATGTATGAGCAAGCCCAATGTATTGTACCACTAAGGGTGTGTGACTAAGGGAATATCATAGAACAAACTGCACCCAACAGTTCAGTTGGGAAACGGCCCCTTTCCCAAGCCCCTGACCTACCTCCCAATCTGGGTCCTCCCTCAGAACCCCCTGAACCTCCATATGATCTAGTAATTCAAGAGTTAATACTTGAACCCCACAGCAGGGGTTCTCCCTAACTCTGATCCAGTACAAGGGCCAGTGCTCCACTTAGTCCAGGTTAAATATTTGAATATCCCCCTGGTGGAGGGGTTTTGGCCCCCTTCCAGCAGCAGCTCTCTGCGTACTGTGTCCCTATTCCTCAGCCCCTGCTTTGACTATAGATGCTGAAGGGAGGAGGCTAGCAGAGTCCAGACCCTCCTCCCAGTCTTCATCTCTTTGCTGCACTTCTTCCTTCAGCTCAGCAAGGATCCCCAAGAGACGCAAAGCTTCAGAATCAGCTCCATTTTGAGAAAGCCGCATTTCAGCAATCCTCTGCAGTTTGTTTTTCATCTTTTCCTTCTCTTTTGAGCTCTGGTTTATTTTCACACCCTCTATAAACTGGTCGATGGCCTTTTCTTCACAGTGCATTTGATACAGCTGAAAGTTGCCATATCGCAGATGGAGCAGCTGCTTTGCTACAGGATTAAGCTCTTTGCGGAATTCTTTTTGGAAGTAATGATCAGCTTCTTCGTACCGATTTGTTTGAGCATAAAGGCAGGCAAGATAGGAGCAGACGTTGGGGAGATTCACACCGAGATCATCAGCTTTCTTTAAATGATCCACAGCTTGTTCTATTACTTCTTGTAACATCTTTTTTCTCCCATTCCCGTCACGCTGTATTTGAAGGACCTTTGCTCTATAGCAGCACCCGATGTGGTAATGCAGGTAGCCTTTGTTTGGCATGCATTCTAAAGCCTTTCCAAGCACTTCTATAGCTTTGTCCAGGGCCTCTTTTTTTTGAAAAAATTTTGCAGCACCAACTACATCTTCTGCATATGCGGCTTTCTCCAAGGCTTCTTCAACTAAACTCTCCCCTTCACTTTCTTCATGTATCTCCTGAAGTTTCAAAGCCAGGAGGACTTTAACATACTGGTTCTCAGGATTCAGCCCAATGGCTTTTCTCAGAGGGCCAATGGGGTTCTGATCAGGTGGCCACGTATCCAGACAGTAGCTCGCGATTGCTAGTCCAGAGGTGAACTCTGGGTTCTTTGGTTTTTTATCCAGAGCCTTCTCAAAACACACCTTAGCCCTTTCTTTAGAGTTTCCTCCACACTTTAACCATGTCCACCCTTCCTCACAGTCTATCTCGGGACTCTCAATTCTATAGGGGCTGGAAAACTTCTTACAGACTTGTTTCACTTTGTCTAGATACATCTGAGCTTCCGAGAGCCTGCCCATGTGATAGTAGACCCAGGCATAGTTTCCCCAGGTGACCAGACTTCTGATTTCTGCTTGGTCAGCGTGCTCTCGCTGGATCAACTCTTCAGCTTGCTGTAAGCATTCCAGGGCGGCCTCATTTTGGCCTCTGAGATGTTTTATATAGGCCAGTATGTTGCATGTTGTGGCTTTGAATTCACTGTTCTGAAGCTCAACCTGATTAAATACTCTGTTTTCAAAATCATCCAAGGAATTTTCTCCCTCTATTAAATTCCAGGTGAAATGACATTTCAGTTGCCGTAGGCCGCTCTCCAAGGAATTCTTGGTGATCTCACTGTAGGGAAAAACAGAGACGGGCACATTGAGACACAGCACATTTCTGGTAAGAAATCCAGATTGCAAATACGTATCTCCTCCTCCTCCTGAAGACAGTCAACCCAAATCAAAAAAGAACAGATTTCCTTTCTTTCCCCTGTACTCTGTCTGTGTGTCAAATGCATGGTGAGGCAGGAATCTGAGAATGTGGGGAACCGAAGAATAAGGGAGAGCAATGGGCAGTGTCTCTGAGGTTGGGACTGCATGGCCCTGAACAAGGCAGTTTTTGTTTAGAGCTCTGCCCTCAGCTTTCCGCTTTCGAAGGCCTCTGCAGAGGTTGCCAAACTGTGGGAACTGTTTTTGTGTCTTTCTGGTCTCTAATGAAGGTGTGAGTTTGAATCCTACTTCTAACTATTTACCTTAACTACTTAACTCTTTTTCATTTTATTTTTTAAAATTATTTTTGTATACAATGTTGTGCCAGTTGAACTTGATGTCCCCTGCGACCATGGTCCCCAGTCCGCAGGCCCAGCAACTCACTCCCTCAAGGTGCTTAGCTGTGGCTAAGAAGTTATCCTAACTGCCTCCTGGTAGGTTTAAACTGCATGTGGATATTTTTATGGCACATACGTATGTAGGAATATCGTCTGCCAAACCTATGTACGGCTGCGAGTATATTCCCATCCATACCTGATCTTCTTGCCTGTCTCCCTATGTATCTACCTGTAGCTTAGTCTTTGCCGTTACTGATAATGCAGTATTGTGCATGCAATAGCATTTGCCTTTATTATCTCTACCTCTTAGGCACCTCTCCATGTCTTCATTTTCCTTAGTGGTATTGTGCTAGTTACATGCTTTTGTTATTGCTTTTCCTTTTACCCGTTTCAAACCTATTTCTTAACTATCCATCTATTTTCCCTTTCTTTTCCTCCCCTCCCATCCCTGGTAACCAACAAAGAAAATTTCCTTCCCTGTGTAAACCTTTCCTTGCCTTTTTATAATAATGGAATCATACAATGTTTGTCTTTTGATGATTGACTTATTTCACTTAGCATAGTATCCTCCAAGTCCATCCTCATTATGAGGTGATTTGCTGATTCTTCATTTTCCTTTAATGTTGCCTAATATTCTGTTGTGTGGATGTACCATAGTTTGTTTGTCCATCCATCTGTTGATGGACACTTAGGTCAGGACTGCTTAACTCTTCACTGTTTAATTGTTAACTGTACCTCTTCACTGTTTTATTATTATCTATGTTAGTCAAGCCTTAAACTTTTGTTTTAGAATAAAATTTAATCATTTTTTATTCTTTTTTCTTTTTCCTACCTCTACTTCTAAACTGGCAATTTCTGTTCTTAACACATCTCATTGAGTTGGCCTATTAATAATTTTGCATTTGTTGGTGGAATTTCCTTTTGAAATTATTTTTTTCTGCTGTGGTTTGCTTTTATAGCAGCAGGTGAGATGTGTGGCTACAGGATGCTCTCAAGCTCCTTTTCTCATAAGAAGAGCTCTTTTTCTTTAGATGCTCTTGATACTTTCCTGAAAAGATTTTCCATTCCCTTCACTGTTGGTCCTTGAAGGAAAGGAATGAATGAATGAGCAAACAAACAAACAAACAAACAAAACAGCAAAGAGACAAATAAACAGAAACCTGTACTCTGAGTAACTTCAGAGATGGTTAGGTCCAAAATCATTCCTTGCCCAAAAATATTTCTCCATGTTGCCTATGTATTAGAGTCCCTGAATGTTGCTTTTTTCTCACTTAAAAAAAAAAAAATCATGGTATGTATTAACCAGGCCTTTTATCAGGAGCTACATCTTCTAGATATTATGAATTCTGACATACACAACTAATATATATCTGGAAATCTATGTACAGTGGCAAAGATCACTTTTGAATATTTGTTACATTGAAGATTATATTCCCCCACTTTCTTTCTGTCCCTTTGTGGCATGGTGAATTACTTAATATGACCCTTATAGCCAGAGTCTCTGTTTATGGTTATTGTCTCATTTTGGAGTGAGTTGTCTGTTATGTTAATGAGGCAAGATTATGGTGGGATATATCTTGAATCAGTGTCTTACTGTAAAGTATGACTCAAGGCACCACCCTTAGTTTTCCTGTGGGTATGGTCTGTATCCAATATATATGAATGCTCTAGTGAAGTTCTCTCTTTTGTTCTGGATCCTGCATCCAGCTTGTTGTCATCTGACCTCTCGTTCTTGACTCGGACCTGATTCACCAGCTTCCTCAGCCTTGTGAGACAGAAGCCTGTTGTCTGACCTACCCAGCTGGATTTGGTGGCCCCTGCAACCATGTGGGTGAGGAGAACCCTCCAGGCACTTCACCCATGGATTTGGGACTTGTCAACATCTACAACCTAGTGAACCATTTCCTTGGCAGTTGTGAGTTCTATGAGATGTTACAGTGAATTAGGGAACCCGAGGGTGGGAAGGAGAATACTGAGCGGGAGGATGAGCAGTTGATAGTAGAGTTGATGGAGTGGTACATAGTTTGGAAAAGTTTAACATTTGGGACATCTTTGACTTCTGCCTGATCCTTCTAATAGAAATTATTTGAGCACAGCTTTTCCTCACTTTGTGTACAGAATGACCTGCCATTCCCCACCCCCTCCCAATTTGGCACTTAATTTCAAGTGGAAGCAGGAAATGGAACTGACATGGGAGCCGGGGAGCCAGAGCAAGTCTTAATGTGCTAGGAAGGGTGTTGCACACTCTGGGAATTGGCTGGCAACCATCTTTAAGACTGATCATATTCTGTAATACATGCTCCAGAGAAAGCACTCAGATACACAAAGAGAAGGCATAAGGACTGGGCCCCCAAGTTCCCTAGTGTCCTGCTCTAGTCCTCCTGGGATCGTGCATCCCTGCCTCTGTGAAGCACTTTAGTTCCTACTCTTTTCTGCTACTTGAAACAAACTTAATTAGCTCAAATAGAACAAACAAACAAACAATGAGATGGTGGGAGTTTCTGCTCTGGGAAGGATTCCTTTCAAAGCTCCAGGCAGGTCTTAGTGAAAAACCAGGTTGTTTGAGCCTCTTGATGTAACTAGGGGAGGGTATCTAGCATCTTCATGACAGCAGCCTCCCCTTAAAAAGTTCATATTCAATATGATAGATCTTCTTTCTCAGTGAGGTTACAGAAGGATTCTTTTACACATGAGGCTTGTTAGCTTCTTTCTCATTTTATAAAAGATAAGAAGAGAGTGAATACAGTTGATACTATCTCTGACATATAAAACATACAGCCTGTTGTGCATTTGACAGAATAGAGACATTTCATATATACCACAATCAAAAACCAAACCAGTTGCTCTCAAGTCTCTTCGGACTCATGGCAACACCGTGTGTGTCAGGGTAGAACTGTGGTGCCCCATGGCGTTTTCAATGGTTGACTTTTCAGGTGTAGATCAAAAGGCCTTTCTTCCCTGGTGCCTCTGAGTAGACTTACACTGCCAACCTCAGTTAGAAACCCAGCCTAACCATTTGTGCTACCCAGGGACTCCTTTAATGTATAAAACCAAACCCACTGTCATAGAATCAGTTCTGACTGATAGCGACCCCCTTTGGGTTTCTAAGGCTGTAAATCCACTTATGTAAAATTCCTTTGGAGAAGCCACTCAAAACTCCATCCAATTTCACTGCTTGACCATGGATTTTTATTTTCACTAGTAAATAAGAGAAGTGAGTCCCAGATATTTGCTATCCTGAGTGTAGACTTGTGAATCTTATACTGTGAATTGCTCTCAAAGTTCCAAGCATTTACATAGATGTGACACTTTCTTCTGCTGCTTCCTATCTTCATGAATGCTACAGTGACACTGTTCACCAGACATGGAACTAATGCTGCTACTACAGTGTCTTAGAGTGGTGCTACTCAATGTGTGGTTTTAGGACCAGTGGTATTAGTATCACCTAGGAGCTTGTTAAAAATTTACATCTTCAGGACCCAACCTAGACCTACTACATTGAAATCTCTTGGGGGTTGAGCCCAGGAATCTGTCTTTAACAAACTCTCAATGTGATTCTTAGGGAGCTCAAGTGTGAAACTACTGTCTTAAAGTACAAGGGCAACAGCCAATGAAAGTCCCTGCCAGGAGCAGCTGACCCAATAAACAAGGAATGCATAGGTTTCATCGTGCTTGCTTCTAATCTGCAGTGCACGATTTCACCTGGTTTTCACCACATTATGTGGAATTGTGCACTACAGATTAGTGGGTAAGCACAAGGAAGCCTGTGTATACTTTGCTTACTGGTTAATCTGCCCCTGCCTATAGCTAAAGAATCAAGGAAAGTGAGACGAGGAAATGGTGGCTTTGTAATGTTATGGGACAGATTCTAAGATAACAAGACCACATTAAAATTCTGAAAAAGAGATACATGGGCTCTGTAGATTATGGGTGACTAAGGAAGATGGGGCAATCTACTTCCGTAGTGATACTGCCTTGGAAACCCAAGGAGAGGTCGCTATGAGTCAGGGCCGACTGGATGACAAATAACAACAACAACATAGGCGAATACATTGCAAATATGTCAGATTTTTTTTCTGTCAGGCAGACATGCAGAGTAGCTGAAAAATGAATCATTCCAAGAAGGCAATGTGACCCCTAGAAAGTGATCTCAGGGGCTAAATCCCTGGATTCTGGAGCCAGGTTGCTTTGGCAACCAGGTCCAGCCACCCCAACCCTCAAACTGGAGAAAGTAGAGAGCTCCTTTCCTACCCACTGACCTAACACCTCCTCTGCAGGACAATCTTATGTTTCTGGGAGATGTGGGCATCCTGAAGGTGAGGACTAGTTTATCCAAGCGCTCAGTCTCTAATTCACACTTCAGAAAGGAGGACTCTAGCCAATCAGTAGAATTTTGAGATAAAAAACATTTCGGTTAGTTTGCCAGCTGTAATGTCAGTCTGAGATGAATGAGCACTTTAAAGACAAAATTCACCATAGCGTCAACTAGGATCGCTATGCTGAGTGCATCTTTAACAATTGCTAAAAGCAAATCTTTTGCTAAAAAATAATTTTCTAATACTCTACTGACTTAACCACTTCAAATAATAAACAAAAAAGGGGCAGCCGATCAGAACAATTCCCCTTATTTAATTTAACTTTTAAATTAGCCACCTGCCTGATTCTATCTAAATATGAGTCTCTCTCTCCTCCCTTTTTTTCCTGCCAAACTCCTCTCTCTCCTACAACAGCTCTCAGCTCCTCCCTGTGAGCAATTCTAGAGACACCCATAGGAAGCTTGACTGCGTGAGCAGAAAATGACTTAGGAATAAAATGCCAGCATCAATAACATAGATTTATAATTAAATAGATGCATAGTAAGGCTATAAAACAAACACTTAAACAGAACAATTCAGGAAGTTGCCTTCAGCAGGAAATGGTTGCTTAGGATTTGCTTTCACAACAAGCTCTAATGAACATTTTAACACAGAGGAGAAAGGAGAAGTCTTTACCTCATGATGGTTGTGCACTTCCCAGCTATTCTGAGAGGCTGCAGTTCAGGCTGCTGTGCTCTTCAGAAGCCTTCCTTTTCTGCCTCCAATAAATGCCGAACAGCCCTATAAATGAGGGCATCAGTTGGTTTCCTTTCCTTGTTTTCCTGCAACTGACTTTAGAAAACTGAAAATGAAACCAGAAAGTGAAACTGACTTGACATTGGCCAGAATCTTGCTGGGAGAAAGTGCATCTGGAGTAAGAACCACACCCATCAGGGCCCCTACTCTGCACAGCAGGTCATAACAACTTCCCTTTGGTGGATTTTATTGATGTCCCACGTCAGCTGACATCAAGGGACCCCAGCTGGGAGAAGGATATATTTAGAAAGGACCGTTGCTTCATTATTACAATGTTAACCCATCCTCACTCTGTTCACCCTTAATACCAATACGACCCACAAGACACTGAAAGGAGTAGCTTTATAATCTCCATGAAGGCAGGGACTTTTTGTCTGTTTTGTTTATTGCTCAGTCTTCAGCTCTTGCAATAATACCTGGCACATGTCTGACATTCAAAAATTAGTTGCTAAATAAATGTATGAATATATGTTTAGAATGTAGCTCCATTTATATGCTGTGAGACTCTGGGAAAATTAGTGAAATGTCTCTGTACTTTAGTTTCTTTGCCTGTAGAGTGGGGATAATAATGCTACCAATTCATAGTGGTAGTGTGAAGATTAAATGAGTTAATATATGAAATCTACTTAGAATATTGCCTGGCACATAGTATGTAAATGTCAGTTTGAATTATCATTAATAACTAAAATCATTAACCAAATAGACTAGAAGGGAAACTTGATGTTTGCCATTTCTCGAGTTTTAGTGCCTCTGACATTTCAAGGTCCATCATGATCACTAACCTAGGTTGAATGATTCCTAACGTCTCTAACTGTTCTTGCCTCTCCTGAGGCCTGAAATATATTAAATCCTTGCGTTCATGTTAGTATTCAGCACCCACACATCATGATTTCCAGCCATTTATTTATGAAAGAGGGAATGGACATTCTTTGCTCTTTCCTTATTCATACTCCTCTCCTTGTTCATGCCTTTTATCACAAAGGAGTTATAGTATGCATAGCCTCAAAGGGAAAAAGGCACCGCCACCAGATGTCTTTGCAATAAGGGAACTGCATGGAGCAGGTAAAGCATGGTCTCTATCATAAAAGTGGTTAACCTGCAAAGATAAGATTGCTGAGGCAGGTTACTCAGTCTTGGAGTTACTTACTTTGTGTAAGTAAGTGTTACTTTGGATGCTGCTGACTAGGGCAGGGCCCAAGGAAGCCTGTGCTTCTTGAAAATTCTCTCCCCTTTGATTAGGGTACCCAGCCAAGCCTGTCTTAGTTGGGAACGCCTACTTTTAGTTCCCACTTAAGAGTTACAAATTCTTGAACTTATGTGCATCCCAAATGAGATAACTGATCAGAAAAATCAAGCTTAGTATTTATTTATAGAAATTCATGTTAGAAATACAAGAAACACTGAAATAGGAAGCTAAGAACATTGTGTTTTGTTTTGTTTTGGAATTTACTTTCAAGAAATAGTTGGATAAAAATATTTAAATCTTATTAATAAAAATACTGCCTGGAAAGAAGCAGAGAGAGAAAGGTTGTACTCATTGTCACTGTGTTTTGAGATATCTGGAGACACTCATTTCCTCTGCAAAAAATCTGCATGGCTGATACCTGTGTATAAAATTACTGTGGGCGGGGCACCTCAGCTACAGGGCGGCTGGATAAGTAGGAGAATGTGTCTTCTGATTGCAAATCAGAAACTGGAAAGGAAAACCAATTCTCTACTGGAGATGTTTCTATTTTAAGAAAAATGAAACTTATTTAGTAAGAGTTTTGATTACTCTGGATGCCACAAAAATTTACATATCTGTGTTCTAGAATATAGGGTAAGGACTGCCCCTGTCTTAGCCTAGACTAAGGGAAGTTTGAGTAGCTGCATTACAGGGTGGTATAGTGCAATGGTTATCACAGTATGGTCTACCACCAGCAGTATCAGCATCTATTCTTATGGGCAAAATTCTCAGGGTCCATTTTAACCTATTAAGTCAGAAACTGTAGGGGTGAAAACTATTAATCTGTGTTTTAAAAAGTCTTCCAGATAATTCTGATGGATTCTAAAGTATGAGAACTATGTAATATATTGACTGTATGTGACAATACTTTTAGCTCCATAACATAAAACTTTATAGTTTTTTATTCAGATTAATTTTTTTTCTTTTACTGTTGCTTTTGTTTTGTGTCTGTCTAGAGAATGACTAAATCTTTGTCCACCTAGAGAGTTAGTTGCTAGTTCAATAGTGTTTATACCTACTAGAGGAATCTCAGGTGTCCAAATGGGTTCTCTTGATCTCCACAGTGGATTACAATTTAAGAATAATGTATTCCTCCCTGATATAAATTTCCTTTCTTGATAATTGGCAGATGGACATATGTTTAATATCATTCCCCTAAGGTTGGGCAATCTACTTCCGTAGTGATACTGCCTCGGAAACCCAAGAGGGGTCGCTATGAGTTGGGTCTGACTCGAGGGCACATAACAACAGCAACAACAACAACAAAAGGACTTCTACAAAATTGATAGTTGATAAAACAGCTCCCCATTCCTTTAAACAATTTTTGTGTGTTACGCACACTATTCTGCATCATTCTTTTTTTTCTTTTTTTAATTGTGATTTGGGTGAAAGTATTTATTTTATTTTAAATTTCATTATATATTTTGTATATGTTGTTAGTAGTTAGGTGCCATTGAGTCCGTTCCAACTCATAGCAATCCTATATTCAACAGAAGGAAATACTGTCCAGTCCTCACAGTTCTTGCTACGTTTGAGCCCATTGTTGCAGCCACTGTGTCAGTCCATCTCATTGAGGATCTTCCTGGTTTCCACTCACCCTCTACTCTACCAAGCATGATGCCCTTCTCCAGGGACTGGTCCCTCTTGATAACATGCCCAAAGCACATAAGACAAAGCCTCACCATCCTTGTTTTCAGGAGCATTCTGTATTTCTTCCCAGACAGATTTGTTCTTCTTGCAGTCCATGGTACATTGAATATTCTTAGCTAATATTGCTGAGCACTTGCTCAGGCCTTGAGGGCAGTGAGCGTGAGGGAGAGGGAGTGGTAGGAAGAGGTGGCTGGACTGGGCAAGCTCCCATGCCTTTGGTGTGCAAGGAAGCTGCCTACCTGTCCCCTTTGTTTAATTTTCCCTCCCTCCTTCTCCCTTGCTTATGGAGCAGCACCATGTCATGCCTGCAGCCAGTCAGTAAAAAACAGTGTAACTCCCACCAGGACAGAGCCAGACAGTGAACTCTTTGCTGCAGAAATGAAAACAAGGATCCTACAAGTAGCTCCACCCCCCAGTAGAGCCCACACAAGACTCAAAGCCGCTGACCTAGGCAAAACTGAGAGGGCTAGAGAGAAAGGGGTGGGAGCCAAGGTAAAGAGGAAAAAAAGGCTGATAACCATCTGAAGCCCCTTGAGAGTAGCCTTAAGAGTACCATGAGAACTTAGTAGTTGCCAGAGAGGGCAGTAAAAGAGATAACAACCTGTGGAAGTTGAAGTCAGAGCAACACTATGGCCCTCTGCATCCTACTGTGTACTCTGTCCCCACACCCCAGGAAGTGCCCTTTCTTTCAGGTGGCCCCCACCAGTCCCCAAGACTAGGGGTGGGGTCTGAGGTCACCTGCAAGTCAGAGCCCTGTAGTGTGACCAGAGACCTCATGTAGAGGTCACCCTTGAGCAAGAAGCAGGCTATCACTGGTTCATCAGAATGCACCCTTGTCTTCAGAAACCCTCGGCACTTTCAAAGCACATTCCCTACCCAGACCCTAAGTGAGACATATCAGGAGTGGCTGGTGGGTTTGAACCACCAGCCTTCTGGCTAGCAGTCAAATGGCTTAGGCACTGTGCCACCAGAATTCTTCATTCTATGTTAGATCTGGCTAATGAGTTTTTTTGTTTGTTTGTTTGTTTTGTTTGTTTTTTTAAGCATCCTTCTAGCCTCATCTGCTTGGGACTAGCTTGCCTTCACCTGGGAGGAGCAGCAATGGTGCTGCCCTAGAGACGTCTACTCAGCCCCACCATGTGCCATTTTATGGTTGCTAGGCACCTGATTCTGTTTTTTTCCCTGCTATTGTTCTTTGGTTTCATTACATCAGTGACATCATGTTAACTGCTGAAGATGTTTCTCTGTTACAGGATTGTCTAGATGCCCTAATCACTCACCTGCTGGGGATAGGATGACCTACAAGCCCCCAAAAGGTGTAGGGGCTGTGAACATCAGTTCCTAGAGGTTGTCTGGTCAGGTACCTTACTGCCCGAAGCCATAGTTAATAAGGTACAAACTTACCCCACCCCTTGGATGCCAAAAGAAGTGCAGGCCATTGTGGGTCTTGTGAAGTATTAGAGGGTATTTATACTCTACTTGGCCCAGTGCTTGAGACCACTCTATTCACTGATAAGAAAAGAATGACCCTTGGGACTGGGGCAAAGAATAGCAGCAAGCTTTTGAGAATGTGATAGTGTTGGTTACAACCATTTGTACACAAATGAAAATGCTGGGTACAATACAGGAACGGCTACATATCAAGATAAGCCCCGACACAGTTTAGCATGATGCAAGAGCCACCTCTCCTTTCTGCTAAGAGAAAGAAAGGCACGTGGCCAGCAGACGTCTGGTGCATGATGGCTCTAGCCGAGGTATGTGAAACTAGTTCAGGGCAAAACAATGAGCTGAATTAAAGGCTATGGGGATGATCATCACCCAGGAACCCTGGCCCTTAACCCTTTGTGCAGACAGTTGGGCAGTGTGACTGAGCAGTGGAAGATAATGGGCAAGGAGCTATAATATCTGGGATCACTTTTGAACTTCAGAGGCTGACCTGCTTTTCATTTAGCAGCTCATTCACCTTTCTCTGCCAGGGAACCAAGAAGCACATATTATAGCACAAATAAGAACAGCCCATCCAGAAGGGGAAGCTACCCACTGGATTCACCAGAAAAGCAGGCACTGCAGTGCCTCTGTTGGTTGGAAAATAGCCAGCGAGACAGACATAAGAGTGAAGTACAGTAATTCAGTGACTGTTATAAAAAAAATACCCCATGTGCTCATGCCAATACCCAAGCTGTCTGCTTCATGATCCTGAACACATACATAAGGGAACACAGCCAGTGACGGACTGGCAGGTAGGTTATCAAGCAAAGCT